GACACCAGCCTCCCATCGCGGGTCTCAATCTTCTTCACAACCACGGCCTTGGGGGAGCTGGTGCGGCTGAAGGTGGAGCCCGCGCCAGAGCCAAAGCTGGAGCCCAGGCCGTAGCTGAGGCCGGGGCTTGTGAGGCCCCCATAGGCAGAGCTCAGACCACCTGCATAGCCGCTGGTGGTCTTCGTGTGGATACTCATGTTCTGCATCCCAGACTCCAGCCGGCTCTCCTCGCCCTCCAGTAGCTTGCGGTAGGTGGCGATCTCGATGTCCAGGGTCAGTTTGACGTTCATCAGCTCCTGGTGGTCACGCAGCTGCCGTTCCAAGTCCTGCTTGGCCTTCTGCAGGGCTTCCTCCAGCTGCTGCTGCTTGGCACGAGCATCCTTGAGTGCCTGCTCCCCGCGATGCTCAGCATCTAAAATGGCGGCCTCCAGGGAGGCCCTCTGGCCTTTGAGGCCCTCCATCTCAGCCTGGAGCCGGCTGATGTTCCGGTTCCTCTCGGAGATCTCAGTCTTCGTACGCCGCAGGTCATCCTCGTGCTTCCCAGCCAGCTTCTGCAGCTCCTCATACTTGATCTGGTATACGCTCTCCGCCTCAGCCCGGCTGCGGGTGGCGATCTCCTCGTACTGCGCCTTGACCTCAGCGATGATGCTATTCATGTCCAGGGAGTGGCTGTTGTCCATGGACAGCACCACAGAGGTGTTGGAGATCTGGGACTGCAGCTCCCGGATCTCCTCTTCATACAGCTGCCTGAAGAAGTTGATCTCGTCAGTCAGTCCTTCCAGGCGAGACTCCAGCTCTACCTTGTTCATGTAAGCTTCATCCACATCCTTCTTGATGAGGACAAATTCATTCTCCATCTCTGTACGCTTATTGATCTCTTCCTCATACTTGTACTGGAAGTCCTCCACCAGCCCCTGCATGTTGCCAAGCTCCGCCTCCAGCTTCAGCTTCTCCTGGCCCAGAGTCTCCAGCTGCCGCCTCAGGTTGTTGATGTAGCTCTCAAACATGTTGTCCATGTTGCTCCCAGCCGTTTTCTGCTGCTGCAGGAGGCTCCACTTGGTCTCCAGCATCTTGTTCGGCTGCTCCAGGAACCGCACCTTGTTGATGAAGGAAGCAAACTTGTTGAGGGTCTTGATCTGCTCCTTCTCCTGGGTACGCACGGCCTGGATGTTGGGGTCCACGTCCAGCTTAATGGGGTTCAGCAGGCTCTGGTTGATGGTGACGGCGGTGATGCCTCCCGTGCCTATGCCGCTGGCCCCCGCATAGCCTGCACCCAGGCCACCGCGGAAGCCAGTGCTGCTCACTCGGCAGAAGCTCGAGGAGCTCGAGCGGGCACTGGGCCCACTCGTGAAGGAGCGGCTGCTGAAGGCCTCGGGGCCAGAGGTGGACACCCTGTAGGACTTCTGGGTCACCCTGATGGACATGGTGGAGGCAGGAGTGGAGGCAGGCAGGGTGAACCAGGGAGAGATTCCAGAAGGAGCGGAGAAGCTGCTGCTTGCAACAGGCACTTTCATGTGACTCTTCTCTTTGTAGCCACAGTAGGGGGGCAGGGTGGGGCGGGGTGGAGAAGCTAAATGTCTGGTACTATCCAATCAAACAAAATAACTCTCATGTCTTTGAAATAGTGATAAACAGGATCAGTGCTTTGCAATAGAGAAGATAAGAGCATGAATTGGAAATTTCACTCAGCCACCTGTCATTTGGAAAGCAAGGCTATGCTTGTGGTGTCTCATGCCCATAAAATCTCCTCCAAACTCTCAGATTTTATAAGCATTAACAGAAAAATGTCTTTAAGAGGCACACACATACACACAAAAATGTACAATAAAAATTTTAGAGAAACAAAAAAATTAAGATAAATCAGAGGAAACCAAACTTAAAGAAGGTATCACTTAATAAAATAGTAGCTACTAAGATTTGTACAGGTAAGTTTTGGTGTTTCAAATAAGCAGATTTGATGAAAGCTTAGAATATAATTCGGATAATTTGGTTTTCTCCTGAAATTTCAACACAACCATGTAAATAGAAATTACAAAACATTCATGAGCCTGGACACACCTCAGGCATTTCAGTACACAGACATGTAACTTACGGATGACAGGGCATTCTTCAGACCAATGACCTGAGCAGATGGGGAGGAGGAGGCATCCTGCTCCATCAGCTGCCTCAGTTTCTCTCTCTCCGTTGACATGATATTAAAAGCTGACCTTAAAGTGAAGTAAACTATAGAGATATAATCATTATAAAAAGGAATAAAGAGGCATAATTAAAAATAAAATACACAAAAAATATATCTCTAAAATAATTAAGCAAAGTAACAGTACTGAGTATTTTGAGTATAGCAAATGTACACTCTACCTGGACTTTTAAAAGACACATCTGCCATGTGAACACTAATGTAAATTAAGGCCTCTGGATGATGATGTGTCCACGTAGGTTCATCAACTGTAAGAGATGCACTACTCTTGTGTGAAATGCTTATGGTGGGGGTACTGTGCCTACATAGGAGCAAGGGGCTTACAAAAACTCTGCACTTTTGGTTCAATTTTGCTATGAACCTAAAACTGCTCGAAAAAATAGTCTATTAAAATTAACTCCCATACACACATGTTTGCCAATTCTAAGTCCCCTATGCACTATAATATCTCATGACCTTATGACTTTTCATCAGGATTTTTTGACACTTGGACTTTGCTTCTGGATCCTCAATGATCAGTGTTTTGTTTTGTTTGTATCCCCAAAGACTGGAAAGGATTAATAACAAAGCTTATTGGTTTTCAAGGGAAAAATGTTAACACAGCAGCAGAAAAATTAGACAGCACCTTAACCAGGTGATCAAAATTAACTATCAGTGAGAGTCAGGTGGACCGTGTGCCTCTAGGTACAATACACTGAAAAAGACACATCTTCTTTGGTGTATGCCAGCTGGGGCTATGTAATCTGAATTTGATCATGAGGAAATATCAGACAACCCCAGAATGAGAAACATTTTATTTTTAAAAGTTGACCTGCATTACTCAAAAGTGTCAATTTTATGAAAGAGAAAGAAAGGCTGAAAAACTGTTCCCAGTTAAAGGAGGCAAAAAAGGCATGACAATGAAATCGACTCAAGGGGCAACATGGTACTAAAGGCATTATTGGGATAACTGACAGCATTTGAATATGGAAGTTAGAACAGATAAAAGTTGTTTCAATGCTGTATTTCCTCAATTTGATTACTATACTGTGGCTATATAACAGAATATTCCTATTTTATATACTAAAATATAAAGCCATAAAGAGCAACATGATGTATGAATCTCACTCTCAAATTCAGAAAAATGAGTGTGTGTATATGTGTGTGTGTGTGTGTGTGTGTGTGTGCGCGCGCGCATGTGTAGAGAGAGAGAGCAGTAAAACAAATGTGGCAAACTATTTAAAATTATGTATTTGGGTAAAGAGTATACAGAACGTTCTCTGTATAATTCTTGCAACTTTTCTGTAAATTTGTGATTGTTTCAAAACAAGGTCTTATTGTCTACCTTCTTGCTTGTTAGCCCTTCCAGCTGCAGGACCCAGAATCGCCCACCCCTAATCCTGGCATTCAGCTACTCTGTTCCCTAGTGAGCACTCAGGTACAACAAGAGCTTAGCCACTATTAGGCCTCCAATGCCTGAACTGAAGTTAAAAAAACATTAACACATAGAGCAAAGAAAAAAAAAATCATTATTCATTAGTTTTTGATCACATCATGTACAAATTACTTCCTAGGAATAGGGAAGCTGTTATCTAAATTACTTATCGTGGATATCACATTTGAATATTATCTTTCCAATCTCCTTTATTATATTTAGTTTTAGAAGAGCAGGAAGAAGGAAGAGACTCAGACACATGTCTTCTGAAATGACCCGGCACATTCCTGAATTCCACAGGGCTGCAGTTTTAGAGGTATTGTTATTCAAGAGTGGCCTATTTAGTAACACAGAAACTAAATAGGCATTATTGGCTTACTTCATTTAATAGCAAGGAGGCCATCTAAACCTCTTTATACGTTGTCGCTGAACTTGTCTGAGGTTGCAGCATTTAGTGATGGACCTAGAACATCTTAACAAAGTCACAACAATTTGTTTACACACACACACAAACACACCACACTGGTGCTGCCTCTGCCAACAGAAGACGAGAGTCAAACAAAACTAAAATTTTCTAACAATGCCTATGAAACACAATTAGCTCTTTGCTTTAAACAATTTAATTGAGCAAAATAATTGGCAGCACAATAGAGTGACCAACAGCTGGGGCTCCACCATCAGCCCTAGATTCTTCCCTACTCCATCACCTATTCGCTCCATGACCTTGGATGAGTAAATGATGTGCCTGAACCCCAGTTTCCTCATTTGTAAATAGGGATAACTATTACTTTATAAGGCTGTCATGAGGATTGAACGAGAGAGAACGCAGGTGAAGCGTGTAACCCAATGCATGGTATGTAATTAATAACAAATGTTACTGCAATAATCATACTGATGCCGATGAAGGAGACACCTGAGGATGAGAGTGATGGTGACTGTAGTCTTTTGAAGTGTGGGCAGCAGCTGCAGAGAGGATGCTTTAATCTTTTGCCAGGACAATGCTTGTAAATAACTGCACACAGGGTAGAAATTCTAAGAATGAGGGGTTGGCCAGAATCTAGGGAGCCATAGGAGAACAGCCTTGGGAGGAGAGCAGCGAGCCACACAATTAATGGACTGCATCCTATGTCCTGTTAGGCAGGCACTACTCCCCTGCCCTGCCTGCCACACACATGGGATGCCCATGGCCATCTCAGTGGGTCCCTCGGGGAGCTACCTCTCTTCTGTTGCTCCAAATAAAATGAATGGCACTCAGCTGGCTGCCACTTTCCCAAATCAATTCCTCTGGCTTCCAGATGACCCACAGAAAAGCAAGGCTTTGCACCAAATGAGAAGATTCCTATAAAAATTTTAAAGACTGGCATAATATCCAATATTTGGTTCAAAATGTATAGCTGACAAGATTGTAGTAGGTATAAGATAAGCAGAAAGAAGCTTATAAAGTCATTATGTTTTATTATAAGGTGTAAAATGCTTCCTAAATCATCTGAAAAAAAAGGATTTGGAAGACTAGATCCCCATGTACTCAATTTTTTAAATGACTATTAAGATCCACTCAGGATGTTACAATAGTCATTCACAGCCACCTAAAGATCATGCACACACACAGCAATGATCAGAAGCTGCTCATGAGAGACCACATTTATATTAATTGTTAAAGACACAGGATCCCAAAAGTCAGGAACACTCTCTGTGACAGAAGTGTTTTCTTACTTCTAACACGAATTAAAGTTTACTAGAGACAAATAAAAAGCTTAAAAAAAATAGAAGATTCAGATGAGTACATCACACCTATGGGTTACCTGACAATAAATAAAGCCACACAGAAAATCCTAGATGCTCAGAGCTATGAAGGACCTCAAAGATCACCATAGCCACCCACCCCACATCACGACCAACTCGTCACGTCTCCAGCTTCCCTGCCAAATGGTCTGTTGGCCCATGCTTGTCAGAGTACTTGCTATCTCCTAAAATGGTACATTCTGCTCTGGGGCTTAGAAAGTCATTCCTGTTGCTAAGACAACATTTTCCTCAGTGTGTCTTCACTGTCAAACAGGAGTATTTCCTCTTTCAGTGGCTGTTCAAATATTGGAAGGCAACTGCAGCACCTATGTTTATTCATTTTTTTCCCAAACTGTCATTAGCCATTTCTCAGATGCCCTTCCTGGACTATAAGAGGGGGGGCACAGGTTGAGTTTTTGACTGTAAGAAGTCTTAAGTTGCATCTACAGAATGGAGCATCATAAGCATCGTACATGTGACTCTTGGTGGTCTTCTTGCTGTTCTTTTATTGAGTTAGGATGGTGAGACTGTAATAGATGGAATGTTTGGACGGTGAAAGTCGATACTGAAGGATAGTTGGACTCAATTTATCTGAGCTCTACTTATTAATATGCTCCTTCTTCAGCAGTTTTTCAGCATCAGGAAAGAATAAGACCTTGAAAAACATAGTTATGAATGCCATGGGCACCATGCTAGAAAGCAGCGTGGTACAGAAGAAAGAAATTCTCTAATAAGGCCAGCCTGAACCTAAATCCTATCTCTAACACTCGGTTGCAGTTGCCATTTGTATTTTGGACAAATCCTTGGTTTCCACAGCTGTACATGTGGATAATGGGCGCATCTGAAGAGTGCTTTAAGCAATGAGAAAACCTACTATCACACAGCGCCTAATCAAACAGTGAGACTCATTTTTCCCCCTTTTTAATTGAAAAACCAAATTTTAGGTGAATTTTCTTTAAAATGTTAACATTCCTAAAATATCTGGGATACTCTGATCTTCTGTAATCTGCAAAAATTTCAAACTTCATAGGATGCCCATGATTTTAAAATACTTTATAACCTATATTCCATCCAAATTAACTTTGATATATTAGGTAACTTTACTAAATGGTCCTGCTTATGAATCTAATTGCTCAGCACATTTATGCTGAATTCTAATTTATGAACAATAAATGATTTGGCTTTTTGTTGAGTCATATATCTCTTTTAGCTTTTTAATCTATGAAAGAGGTATCACTGTAACACACTTGGCTTTTTATTCAATGCTTCCGTAAGTTCAAAACCGTTCAGAAAATGACCATTCAATAATTACTACTCAACATAGGGAAAGAATCCAGAAACAAAAGAATAGGTAAATATAGTTTTGATTTTGTTCCATTTAGCTTTCACATTTGTGAATAGGAATTTCCTTCACTTGAAGAAAAAGTGTCCCTAAAACATCATTTGCTTCCCTGCCAAGGCAGAAAAACACAGGTATCTGCTTCCATTCAGAACACCTGACTCTAGTCCCATCTTGTTCCTTACTTTGCCATCCTAAATCTGCTTACCAAGTTTGGTCATTTCTGTTTCTGCTAACAGAACACTCTGTCAGAAAACCTTCTTGTAACAGTAAGCAATAGTATGGATTCTTTCTATTCAGTGTAAAATAATCAAAGAAAATAACTGCACAATTTGAGAACCAAAAGAGGACAACTACTATAGGACATTTAACAGGCAACGAAGGGCCAGAGAGTTAACAAATGAAGTCAAAGTCCCACAGCTAGTCACTAACAGAGGTGGCCTACTTAGCCAGTACAGAGGGAGCTCCAAAACGGCTTAGTATTCACATTGTTTCCTAAAGTATGTTTCTGAGAAACTTAAATTCCAGGATGTTAATAGCTGTTGGAAATAAGGGGGAAGATTCCCAAATAAGGCTGAAAGTCACTGAGTTAAAGTCAATAGATGTTTTTTGTTTTTGTTTTTTTGCTGCAGGACTTCGTGGGGCCTTTACTATTTACTTTTCTTATGGAAATCCAAGGAGACCAAGTCAGTAGTGTTTTCCAAACATTTTTAGTCATGTAGTTTTTGTTTCATTTTTAAAAGTACTTTATGGGTGAAGTGTTTCCTAAAATATATTTTGGGAAATGTAAACGCTAATATATGTGACAAAAATTACTTAAGACTTTTTGGTTTCAGTACATTTCATTCTCTGTTTATGTGTGAGAAACATACACACAAAGCCAGAAATATAAGCCAACAAGAACTGGCTCAACAATATGCCACAAAAATCAAATTCACAGTCTGTAATATAGAATAAGGACTTTTAATACTAGGATGGGTATATATTGGTTGCCCACCATATGATCTATAAAACCAGGAGAATTCAAATGCATTTAACAAGTTTCAGGTCACACAGGCTATGCAACATCACTGGAATTCCTGCCTTTAGTTCAGCTGCTTTGAAATTGTAGTCAGCAGAATAGTGATGCAGTCGAGAAAGCACAATAGTCACTGTCAGTAACAAAACGCGGTTTACACAGGAAGAAAAGTCAAGATGCTTCGACTTTGAATGTATGGAAGTGAAAAGGCATGCAAGGTCACAGGACTCAGCACAAACCTGAGGGAGCTGTCTTTATTCCCTGAGGCCCCCAAATTACAATCTGTGTAAGAGACTCCCTGAACCAGGAAAAAGGAAGATCTTTCCATCTCTGCAAGTATACTGTAAAACCACAGGAATGAAACAGCTTGTTAGGCTGCCTGTGGAATTTGTTGTCTGTACGCCCACAGGGCTCAGGTAACTGCTGAATAAGTGCATTGGACCTTTCTCCAGGACAAACCTTGGCCCAGTCTAGGTATGTGGTGGCTCTGCAGCCAGTGAGTTTTCACAAAGTGGAAAAGATAGAACTGCTGGCTGGGGCCCATTACAGACTTTTGACAAGGTGGAGGCCTCTGCAGGAGGATTGCATCAATGAATCCACTCAATATGGCAACCTCTGTCCGGCTGAGAAAGCAGCTTCTTCAATGTAGGTGAAACTCAGGACATTTCCTCTGTGTAGGGAAGCATTATCTTCTTATTTTAAAAAAGTTCATATTATTAAAAAGTAACAACGTTTTATTGGAATTTCCTCCCACAAAACTTAAAATGCCCTAATTGCAACTGGTTCTTTTAATATTAGGGAATGCCCAAGAGGGAATTTGAAGAGGCTTTAAGGGTGGGCCAGGTAACTCTTGCCATTTTACAGATGGACCATACAACAGCATAGCAAAACAGTGACAACATTCTAATGGTAATTAGGACAAGTGTTCGAGGTAGCAATCTGTATAAAGGATGAAACGGTTTCCCTATAACCCACCACATATCCAACATGTTTTAAATTTAGAGGGTAAGGGAAGAGAGCTGAAGGAATCAGTAATATATGAAAGAAAAATATGAAGTAGGAAAGGAAGGCAATAGAGGGAATATTTTCTTTCTTACCACATTATGCACTGCCCTCCAGTGAAAAATTCCAAATCCGTTTTCTCTTTTAGGAATAATATATGAAAATTGAAGAAAAGTTAAGCAGAAAGATAAATAAGCACTTATAACTCTAGCATCCACCACTAAAATGTTGGTATATATCCTTCCAGACTTTTTAGTGTACCTATATATGCCAGAAATAGGATCATATCTATATATTGTTTTGCAACCTTACATTTTTACTCAATGATATGCTGTGGACATCTTTCTATGTCTATAAAAAATAACTCTGGCACTCCATCTGTAAGAGCAATGAAACACCAGGTAAGGAATACGGAATCTGGGGTCAAACAGGTGAGAATTCAAGTCTCATGTTGGCTGCTTTGTAACCATTCGACCCTCAGGAAGCTGTTATTTTCTCTAAGTCTCAAGTTTCTTATTTAAGCAATGGAGATCACAATGATACCTACACTTCATGGGCTGCAGCTAGAATTAAATAAAATAATGCATGTAAGGTTCTTAGCAAATGCCTGACATGACAGTTATGTGTTCGATGTTAAGTAGCTATCATTATTATTAGTAGTATTCTATTATGATTATATTAGATTTTAGAAAAATTTCAATCCCCTATTGTTTGGCATTTAGATTACTTCTAATTTTTTAACTTTTTATTTTAAAATCATTATCAACTTACAGGAAGTTGCAAAACAAGTAAAGTCCCACATACCCTATACCCAGTTTCTCCCAGTAGTTACATCTTACATATCTATGGTACAATATAAAAATGTAGGAATTAGCCAGGCGCGGTGGCTCACGCCTGTAATCCCAGCACTTTGGGAGGCCGAGGCGGGTGGATCACGAGATCAAGAGATCGAGACCATCCTGGTCAACATGGTGAAACCCCGTCTCTACAAAAGCTACAAAAAATTAGCTGGTCATGGTGGCGCGTGCCTGTAATCCCAGCTGCTCAGGAGGCTGAGGCAGGAGAATTGCCTGAACCCAGGAGGCGGAGGTTGCGGTGAGCCGAGATCGCGCCATTGCACTCCAGCCTGGGTAACAAGAGTGAAACTCCGTCTCAAAAAAAAAAAAAAAAAAAGTAGGAATTGACATCAGTATAATCTACAGATTTTATTCAGATTTTACCAGATTTCCATGCACTTTTCTGTTTATATATGTGTGGGTATGAGTAAATGCAATTTTATTACATGTCCACATTCCTGTAACCAGCATCACAATCAGGATACAGAACTTTTTGCATCACTACAAGATCCCTTGTGCTACCTGTTTATAATCACACTCCTCTTTCCTTCTTCCATCTCCATAATTATATCATTTCAAAACGTTTATGTAAGTGGAACCCTACTGATATGGTTTGGCTGTGTCACCACTCAAATCTTATCTTGAATTGTAGCTCCTATAATTCCCATGTGTATGGGAGGGACTCAGTGAAAGATAATTGAATCATGGAGGGTGTTTTCTCCCATACTATTCTTGTGGTAGTGAATAGGTCTCACAAGATCTGATAGTTTTATAAGGGGCTTCCCTTTTCACTTAGCTTTAATTCTCTCTTGCCTGCCACCATATAAGACGTGACTTTTGTCTTCCACCAGGATTGTGAAGCCTCTGCAGCCACTTGGAACTGTGAGTCCATTAAACCTCATTTTCTTTATAAATTACCCAGTCTTGGGTATGTCTTTATCAGCAGCATGAAAATGGACTTATACACCAATACAATGTAATGCTTTGAGATTGGCTATTTTCTCTCAGCATCATGTCCTTGAGATCCATCCAAGTTGCTATGTATATCAATAGTTCGCTCCTTGGTATTGCTGAGTAGTATTCCATTGTGTGGATGTACTGAAGTTTGTTTAACCATTCATCTGTTGAAAACCATTTGAATTTGTTTCCAGTCTTTGGCTAATACAAATAAACTTACTCTGAACACATGTATAGATTTGTGGACATAATTTTTCATTTATCAGGAACAAAGGCTCAGAAATGAGTGTTGGGTTGCATAGTAAGGCCAAACCTTTTCCAGAGTGGCTACACCATAGCCACAAACAATGTATGATAGATTACATGTATATACATTCTCACCAGCATTTGATACTATATTTTCTTTTAACTTTAGCTCTTCTAATAGGTGTGTAGTAACATCTCATCATGGCTTTAATTTGCATTTTCTTAATGGCTAATGATGTTGAATACCTATTTCTAACTTTTGATGTGACAAACAATGCAAAAATGGATACCTCTGTTTGGATATATTTTAAGTTAATTCCTACAATGAATTCTTCAAAGTGGAATTGCTGGATGGGCAGATTTAAAAAAATAGTGGGAACATAATATCAGATTGCCATCCAGAAGATTACCAATTTACACTCCCATCAGCATCACATGAATTGCTCAGCCTTTAAAGTACTAACTCTCTGTCTCCCCCACAAGGTTAAAAAGAAAGTTCTTGCCAATACATTCTCCATTACCAGGGAAATAAAATAAAAATCAGATTTCCCTAAATCTTAACAGAGCAGAAAATGAACCAACTAAGATACTCTCTCTAAGGACATCCCACATTCAGACATGCATTTAACATTTTTATCAAACACATTAGGAAGAAAGAAAACTCATTTACCTTTATGGGCAATATGACACAGATCTTCTTGCATTTTAGAAAACTCTGATGAGGTTTCAGAGCCATCAGAATAATTTTTCTCTTCTCCAAAATCTAGTGTTGACAAATTAGGATTGGAGGAGTGTAGTCTTACTGGGCCAGAAAAAGGTTTGGGGACCTGAAGTAACACCAAAGGGAGATATTTCTTTTCAGATGCAGATTGTTTAGAATATTTACTTGATTCTAAGACTGAAACATAGTAATAGAAAACACCTTATAGGTAGGTCTTTCTACTGCTTGATAACTTATTTTTAAAAATGAGAACTTCAGACAACACTTTCCACAGCAATTTGCTTCTTGTGAGCTAAAAATGGGTGACAAATCATATATTCTTTTAGAAATGATAGAAGCATTAAAGCTATAGGTTGAAAATGACAGCTAAAACTGCCAGACTTTCTCATTTATACTCAATTCCTTCTTCCTGGCAATAATCATCCATGTAGCCAGGCAGCTAGTAACAGATACGTTTAAAATGTTTTTCTTTGCACCTAGGCCTTCTAAAAAACAAACAAACTTCATTTGCACATGGAACATTCTTTGCTTTCAAAGTGCTTATCTTCAGTCCATAAAGTACTTTGAACCAGAGTGTACAAGAGCGTATCAGGTGACCTAACCAAAAGCTTGCGTGAAATTTATGCTGATTCTAAAAATGTTACAATTTAATATGCATCAGTTAAGTTGCAAATCTTGGCCTGTGGCTTAGCTGTGCATTGGGAAAGCTCCTAGCACAGTGAATCTTGGATGAGGGATTCGGACTTTGGAGATAAGAGGCCAAGGAGAATCTGCACAATGTCCTGTGCCCAGAGAATCAGGCCTGTGGGCTTAGAGGAATGAGAATCCACGGAGCACCAGCGGAAGATGTAGGTCAGAGCACACGACAACTGTGGCCACAAAACAAGGCACAAACACAAGCAGGAAGAGCACAGGCAGGCTCAACAGCAAAAAAGGGGAAACCAAAAGTCCTAGAAATGGCAGCAGTCCTGCAACCTCACATCCTTTCTCCCTTAGAAAATATTCTCTCCCTTGCCCATGATCCACTATGTGCTTATCCTAGCATCCAGATAATCTAAGTGATTCAATTCATCTCTCTACAGAGAGCACTGGAAAGAACAACTATAGAATATTCACTCGTCTATTCTAGCTAAGTCAAGGTAGCTCCCGGCACATGACATGCAGAGCAGGGCCAGTGAAGAAACCAGTCTGTTGGAGGAAGCAATGGTTACCTGCAGCGTTCCTTTAGCATCTTTGCCAATAGCTCTGGACCGCCACCTCCTGTGCGATCTTTTTTCCTTTTTGGGACTTTCAAAAGCTCCACCCTTTGTTTCAGAACAGGAAAGAGAGCACAGACAGTAAAGTCCACCAAACCAACAGGGATAAATGCATAGCAAGGTGACCACCTCCATCCCCTTAATTTTGGCTGAAGCAACTGATCACAGCATCCCACTGTTAGTGAAAGGCTGGGAGGAGAAAGGAAAGCAGAAGAGGGCCAGAATGTCAACAGAAGAGGAGTCAGGCTCACCTGGATGGCGTTGATAGCTGGTGCTGAGTACGTCCGATGCAGGACATCCATGCTTTGCAGGAGCTGGCTCATTTCTACCAGGTAGGCGTGACAGTGCGCCAGGTCTGTGGGGGAAAAGAGGACAGTGCTCACAATGCTCCACTAGCAAGAGGGATCACTGTGCTGTCACCATGCCAGCTACTTTTCCTTATTTAGCTATATTTGATTTTTTTTCATCTGTAATGGTTGGAAATTTTACTTCCTCTTTTACAGGAAAGGCTACAGACTCTAGTGGTTAAGGCCATAAATCTTGAGAACCAGGCTGCCTCAGTATGAATCCACTTAATGAACTTTGACTATTGAGAAAATTACAAAACTCCATGCCTCAGCTTCCTCATCAGAAAGATGGGGATAATTATACATCTAGATCACAAAAGAGTTGTGAGAATTAAATGAGTTGATATTGCACAGTTCTTAGAAGAATGTCTGGCACTAAAAGAACTAAATAAATTAGCCATCAACATCATCATCATCATCCTCACCAGTATGTCTAATTCTGTAGTAATACGCTGCCACTATCCACTTGTCAAGACCCAACGCACATTAAATTAATAAAACTAAAATGAAAGTGGTACTGGTCTCTAAGGAAAACTTTGTCAATCATGGACCTGCCTGAGGACCATAACGAGCCTCTGCAGATGGAGCTGACAGGACGTAAGAGGACTCTCTGACCAGATTCCAGTTGCTAACTCAAAAGATAGACCATAATTCACTGTTCACTGGATGATGAAGGGTGTTTCTGTGGAAGAATGGAGGCCCAAATGCCTTAAGCTAGAGGCTCTCACACTTTGATATCATCAGAATCACCTGGAGACCTTCTTAAACCACAGCTCATTGGGCTCCACCCCTAGTTTTTGATTCCGTGCATCTGGGGTGAGCCTGAAAATGTGTATTTCTGATTAAGTTCTCAGGCTGGGCCGATGCTGCTGCTCCAGAGACAAGGCTTCAGGGACTGCTTTGACAAGATGTCACTCGATAAAGCTCATGAGTCGTATTTATTGGAAGGGCAAAGCCTACCTGGTCCCAAGGGTGATACTACCTGTATTCAACAAGAGATAATGCAATTTTCAAGGCTGCCACCCGGTATCTTTCTCTAATAGTGGTTCTCGATCATGGCTACACGTTTAAATCAATTGGAGAAATCTTTTAAATCATATATGCCTAAATAATACCCCCAGACTATTCAATCAGAACGCTCTCAATCCCGCTACGGATCTTTTTTGTTTTTAGTTCCCTAAGTCAGTCTTAGCTAATTAAAGTTGAGAATGCTGACCTTCCTTATGGCAAGCGCCTTATCAAAATCACTTGGGGAACTTTGGAAAATTAGTGATACCAGGGCCCTACTTCAGACCAATTTAAAGGGATTATTTGAGACAGAGGATTGGGAATGGATATTCCTGCATTTTAAAAGCTCTCTGGGTGATGCTGAGGTGCAGTCAGGGTAGAGAACACCTATATTGTGAAAATCTCCATCTGATCACCCCCTTGCCTCTAGCAAAATGATTCTCAGTCTTGGATGTGTGTCAGACTCTGCCCTTGGAGACTGACTTATAGGCCCATGTTGGAATCAGGCATCAATGCTCAGGAACAGAAGAAGAAACGTGCCTGCATGTACAGCCAGGTGAAGACGTAAAGATCTGCAAGGAGAGTGTCTTTTGTTGATGATGGGCACAATCTTTACAAGCAAAATATAGAAGGGAATGTGGACAAGTGAAGGGGAAGGACAGAAATGCACCTGAAGGGTAAACATCAAACCAGTATCACCTAATGGCCACGACGGAAAGCAGAGGTTTCAAGTCACTCTACCTTTGGAGCATTTTTCCATGTCTTCTGAAGACTGCAGCCATAATGGAACTCGTGTCTCACCGCCACAAGAAAATGATAAATTGCTTCCAGCTTGAAATAAATTCTGCTTTGATATACTGCTACGCTGTTCCACAGATGACAAAAGCACATTGTAAATAGAAACAGAGCCCAGCGGGGACACGTTAGGGTAAAGGATAGCAGAGTGGGCTAGTCACCAATGGACACCACCTGCTTATAATGAGAAAGAAGCTTCTAGCAAAGCACTAAGATCTCTGACTATCACCCCAGCTTGGCCATATCATGCTATGATATGGCATGCCTTGAATGGTGGACCTGATTTTCTTCTTTTATCAAATATTAACAAAATAGTAATATAATAATATAAATGTTTGGAAATATTTTGCAATCCTGCATGGCTATATGCATCCTTACTGTAGTTTAAAACTAGAAAGGGAAACCAAACTCAAACCAGTCAGGAGAAAGGTAGTTCATTCAGGGATGCTAAATTCCTCCATGTCAGTCACTGTCCCCCTCAACTAATAGATACTTGTCTGGTCTTGGTTCTGACTCAACTGGCAAAGAGACTAATTAAACACAGCCCAAGCCTACCTTGCTTGTCCCTGAAAACCTTTCCTTCCTCAGACTCAGCTCCCAAGACAGTACTCCATTAAACAAAGCCACCGCGTTCTAAGATTCATTATTGACAAAACATTCATTACCTTCCTACTTGAAATGGGGTCAAACACCGCAGATGCAGAGTCTGTGATGGTGGACCCTGGGAAAAAGTGGTTAACTTCATGTGGAAACATGGCAATTTCATTCTGACGATACATTCTGTGGTGGCGAAGTTTCGATACCCACTCATCAAAGACTTCTTCTGACTTGACCTATAATGTATTCAATTGAAAAAAGAAAAGAAGATAATCATTCACTGGAAGGAACAATTACTGATCAAATTGATGCCACTCCCCAAATCGTCTTTTTCAGTTGGCACATAATTTCGATAGCCAGGCGGAGTGGCTGATGCCTGTAATCCCAGAACTTTGGAAGGCTAAGGAGGGAGGATCACTTGAACCTAGAAGTTCAAAACCAGCCTGGACAACATGGTGAAACTCTATCTCTACATAAAATTGAAAAAAAAATTAGCCAGATGTGGTAGTGCATGCCAGTGATCTGAGCTACTCAAGAGGCAGAGATGGGAGGATCACTTGGGCCTGGGAGGTTGAGGCGGCAGTGAACCAAGATTGAGCCACTGCACTCCAGCCTGGGTGGCAGAGAGACTTGTCTCAAAAAACTAAATAAGAAAGTAAAGGAATGGAGAAATAGCCTCTTATTGACTGTTTATATTGATGTGGTCTATGGGAATAAGTTTGAGAAGGAAGGGCTGGGTAAAAATGCAGGGTAAGCATGTATTTTGGCTTTCTATGAGTGAGTCCAACTGTTATGCCATTTTTAGGAAAACAGAACAGTACCAATTATATTAAGCAACAAATAAACTGAAAGTTATATTTATCTGCCCCTTAAAGCATTTCCAAGTTCTCTAATCCCAGCTTCTCCATGTCTACTGAAAATACTAGCACCATGTTTCTTTTTAAACTCTTTTATAATTCAGACTTTTCAGATCAATCTTTTCTGAACTGGAATGAATTAGTAAATTCTCCCCAAAATATTTAACTTTGTTCATCTCTCCAACACAGAACACACTGCGGAGGAGTATATGTGATGTGGTTTGGCTGTGCCCCATGTCTCCACCCAAATCTCATCTTGAATTCTACGTGTTGTGGGAGGGACCTGGTCAGTGAGAGATAAGTAAATCATGGGGGCAGGTCTTTCCCAGGGTGTTCTCATGGTTGTGAGATGAGAACACCATGGGAAAGACCTGATCCAGTTACCTCCGCTGGTATGATAAGGTGGAGTTTCCCTGCACAAGCTCTTTCTCTTCACCTGCTGCCATCCACGGAAGATGTGACTTGCTCTTCCTCGCCCTCTGCCATGATTGTGAGACCTCCCCAGCCATGTGGAACTGTAAGTCCATTAAACCTCTTTCTTTGGTAAATTCCCCAGTCTTGGATATGTCTTTATCAGCAGTGTGAAAACAAACTAATACAATAGGTTAATAAATGTGAAGGTTATTTCAAAAAACATTTCTCCCACTCTCAGAAATAAAGCACTATACAGCATTATTATTATTTTTCCAACTTTTATTACAATCACACTCACACTTAGCCATTCTCTCCATATATCAGCAATTATCAATTTCTAATTTCCATGAAGAATACTGTTTGCAACACATAGTTTTTATTTAAAGATATTTGAAATGTTTATATATATAAAAAATATAACAAGCATCTATATACCATAGACATTTCTTAGAAGTTAATTTTTATGTGTGGGTATGACAGTATATTGATATTTTCAAAGTAAAAAATGATAGATATCCATATATTAGGATACTGAGACTTATGAAGCTGTAATTTAAGATAATCCAACAGGATGCATGATAGGATAATTTCTAAGATGAAAAATTCTGGTCAATCTGTGAAAATCTTTACTAATATCAGAGATGAGAGCCAGGATATGCACATAAATGCCAGCAATATCACTCATGGAGGAACTGTTAGGTTGACTCTGGTGCTGATTATTAGAAGCTGAAAGCAGCTGCAGGGTCTTTTTAATGTGTCATTTACAGGAAGAAGCAATACAAACAGACTCACATCTATTTGTCTCCCCTAATTTATGTTCTTCAAATGTATTTCATTTCCCAGATGTGGTTAAGAGGAATTTTACAGGAATCTTGTGTTATCCTTTCCACTGATCTATTCTCAGAGGCCCTTATAAGTCAGTGCCCAAGCACTCATCTGGACTCACTTTTTCATCAGTTAAACAATGTGGAAGAATAAGAGTACTTTATTAAATAACAGCCCAGGATCCTGTTCCAGTCCCTCAAGTAGATCTAGGGCCATGGGTGAACAGCCGCTTAATCTACTGCTACCCAGGATCCCTCATCTATAAAATAAATGGGACCAAACGGCCCACAATTAAAAACTGCCAGACTCTGAGGCTATTAACTAGAACCCGCAGATAACTACACTTACCTACACTAATAGTCATAGCTGATGTTCAAAAGAATGAACAAGAAACCAAGCAGAACTTAAATCACAGAACTTAAATCACTGTGTTTATCACAATATTAGCATTCAATCTATTTTAAGGTATTCTAATCCTTTAAAAATTATGAATAATTACTTTTATTTTGTTAACCACAATAGTGGATAAACAAGAACCTATTAATTCCTGACCACAGCAAAATACAGAACTAAGATTCATTGGAAGTACCTGAAGAAATAACCTAAACTCTTCTAGTGGAGATCGATCACTGAAACAGAATAAGCATAATATTCTTTCTTAAATTTGTTTTTTCTCTCCCATTCTTCACACCAGTCATTTGCAACCAGGGGTAACTTTAACCTCTAGGGAACACCTGGCAATATCTGGAAACATTTTGGATGTCATAATTGGAGAAGGATGCTACTGGCATCTAGAGAGAGGGCAGGGACAGGGATACTGCTCAACATCCTGCTATACAAAGTCAGCCTTCCATAACAAAGCATTATCCAGCTCACAATGTTAATGGTGCTAAGGCTGAGAAACCCTGTTTTACACCATCACCTACAGCCAGAGATACAGTTAGGCTAGGAAATAGTGAAGATTTGACTGCCTTGCCCATTCAACCAACCACAGGTATGTTAGGTCCACAATGCTCAATCACCACATACATGCCATGGAGAAGACAGGGACACATGAAGACAAGGAGCTCATGATCTCATGCTTTGGTTTTCCTAATCCTCATGCCCCATCCCCAATATCTCAAGTAATCTACCCAAGTAAGAAAAGAGTCTTAGCATTTTTTCAATTAATTTCTAACACTCGGGTACCATCCAACATGCACATATAATAGCTAAACTTCCTGAGTTTACACTGGGCCAGGCACTATGCCAAGTTTCCTACATTCAACCCCAAAACAGGAGTGTTACAATAATTTTCATTTTGTTTTAGGTGGAAAAACTGAGACTTTCAGAGATTAAGTAATTTGTCAAAGTTCAATGGCTAGTGAGTAGCCACATCAAAATCTGAACCAGATCTAGATCTCACACTTCACGCTTTGACTATCCCTACCACCTGCAGGAGAGACAGCACAAGAGGGTAAACAACTTTGAAGTTCTATTTGGGAACCCACACTTTAGGGGAAAAATTCCTGACATTTCACTGCAATATGAGAATTTTAGTTGAATTCCTATAAAATTCGCCAAAGTTGTAAAACAGGGCTCCATGGCCTAAATGTTACATACATTTCAGGAACACATTTTAACCTATGGTAAATGGTTCTTCACTAAATCTGTCACTGTCTGGGTGGAGGTGGTTTGGAAACGAAGTTTTTCACTGTTGACTGCTGTCACAATCACTGTGGGCAGGGTGGTATCTAGGGGATGAGGCGACCAGGATGCTAAACCTTCAAGCAATCTGACAGACAGTCCTGCACAATGACATCTTATTCAAATAGCAGAGCTGTCCATGAGAAACACTTTGGTAATGAAGGTCATCTACATGTTGGCTGAATGCCCAAAAGGCATCACCAATAGTATAATGACTGACAATCCTTCCTCAGCGTAAGTGAACTCTACACAGCATGAAGCAACCTCACCTTCAGATGGTAGATGTGCTCCTCCGTGTCAAGGTCTATGCATTTTGATGACTTCTTTACAGACATCACTGACAGCCCGACGTCAATGCAGCCATGCAGCTTCTCTCTTTCTATCTGAGAGGCACCAAGAAGGCCACTTGAGAACCATAGTGTTAAAAGCAGTAGTCACACCCCTGACACACCCCTCCACATCCACTAATAGTAAACACAAACAATGAGAATCATCAAGCACTTAGCATGAGCCAGTGCTGAGTTGTGCTGGGCATGCACTATCTTCTACAATCTCTGAGATAGCAAGTATTCTCCCCATTTTACAGATGCAGAAACTGGGGTACAGAGGGGTTAAATAACAAGCAGTTTCCACAACCAGGAGGTGAGGAAGCAAAAAAGTAAACACTATGGGCTGACTTCCATAGTAGTGAATTTACCTGTCAACTGCACTGCCTCCCACTGCATTAGTTTCTGGTGTCTAAATTCATTTAGAAGTAATCTTATTAAAAAAAAAAAAAAAAAAAAGTGAGAAAAGGAGACTAAGAGAGGACAGGAGAGGAGGAAGGGAGGAGAGAAGGACTCCTACAAGAGGCATGACAAATGGTCATTCAGAGCCCTCACACACCAACTGCCTGGGATTAATCTGAAAAGGAACTTCTTCACCCAGCACCTTCTCCCCTGTACCCCTCAGTCACAGTATGAGCGGGAACGACACTTGTCCTATGTTTTGTTCCTGTTATCTAGCTGCAAGGATGTATTCTCCCAACCAGAGAACTCCTTAGCACAACCCTAAGACCAGAATAGACCTTTGGATGCCCAGAGAGTGTTGGGGGAGCCCCTGCACCTTTACCTGGTAGAGGAACGGAGCCTGCCTGGAAGCCAGAGCTAAGAGAGAAGTGATTCCTCTCACAGTTTCCAGTTTCAAGAAGAGCTATCCGCAACTATATACACACTCATCTCTGAGCTGACAGTTACCCCTTTAGAATTCTCCAGTACCACACTGGGCCCACGAACAGACTTACATCAGCTTGGCTCTTGGCATATTTCAAGATTCCTTTGTCAAGATAGAAGAATCTCTGTGGGGAAGAAAGATTATTAATTAAGACATTCCATTTAGGTGTCCTTTCCTTGGTCTCAAATTCCAACTACAAATTAAATATCAGTGCCTAAGAACCAGGTGAGTAGGAGGCAGTGTGAGAGCAAATAACGGGGAGGCCAAGACCAACCTTACCTTGTGCCAGCCTTTTAAGGGCCATTTCCTCTTTTTCAGCAAAAATCCTTTCTGAACTGGTGGCTCCTGGGTGTAATTCATCTCCCCCCTCAGTCCTTCCACCACTTCCCAGCTGTCCTGTTCCAATAAAAAAGTTCATGTTAAATGTCTATCTTTTTGAAAAATAATAATGTTACAAAGCACTGCATCCTATCAGTAAATTTGTTCAAGATGGGGAGGCTGGCTGGGTTTGTTGGGGAGAAGAAATCCAAATTTAATTTCCATACAGTCCCTGGGCTTCATAAATTTAATTTTATAATTTAGCGGCATCAAATTTCAGTTTTTCTAAAGTTCTTTTTTAGAAGGGAATGTTTCTTTTTGTGTTTGAAACTTAATAGGCAGAGCTAAATGTAAAGATTTTCCTGTAAGTTCTATTTTTGTTCACTTTGACATTACCATGCAATTACCGTTTGTTCACCACTAGACTTCAGTTTGAATTTTAACCAAAAGCTACAGACATCAGGATGGAAGCTGTGTGTGTGTGTGTGTGTGTGTGTGTGTGTGTGTTGGTATGTTGTTGAGGGAAGGAAGTTGGTCTATGAATTGGCTGAAAAGTATGAGACAATGCAAATTAGTAAATATGACAACTTGGTAGAAATAATGATTTTGTTGAAAATCAACATCCATAAATTCTAGGTATTTAAATGTATTGGAAATCTGGAAGCATCAAAAGTATGTATTTGCAACAAGAATTTTCACTACCTTTCCCAGAAATTTGTTTTTTCATCTTTTTTTGTTTCAAAAACTTTTCTTTCTTTGGCCAATTATTACAAATAGTTGTTGCTTCTTCCACTATTGGTTATTTAGGTTATTTCAACTAATTGAAAAAGAATTTTAAAAGAAATAAAAAACAAAAACACTAAAAGTTCTGAAAAGTTACTTTTAAATATTTAAAAATGCACAAATCATTGCTAAATCACGCCAAGATAAACCAAAAGTGCCAATACGTCAGTGACTGGGAGTTTATTTTTATTGTTATTATTTTTTATATTTTTATTGGGATATAATGTACATGAAATGCACACATATTGAGTATGCCTCAATAAATTTATATATTTATCCATATACTCAGTAACTGCCAGCCAGATCAGACAGAAAACATTTCCAACATAGAGTGATTAAGTTTTAACAAGCATGACACTTTGGCCAAGATTCCACCTGGACTAACTTTCCCTGAGTCAAATCTCCAGGCCACAGGCAGGTGGTACAGGCAAAAGCCAGAGACATGGAAGATGGACAGTGAGTGTGCACCAGCACCAGGGAGCAGGAGGCAGTTAGATTCAAGTCCCCGGACACAAGTGGTCTAATAGGGAGGGCACAGAAATCACATAGGGTCCTGATTTGGCTCTGGCTCAGTTTCTGTGTTGTCCTCAAGTTCAATACATGGGACCTACCTGGTAATGTGAACCCTTTCCTGTGTTAGCAACTGAACTCTTTACATAATGATCATGATGAGCCTGCCTTCTATCTGATGGCACTTTACTGTGAATCCAGCTAAAGGTATATACCAAAGTTTTAAAATATCACAGTGGTATCCCAAAATCTGGAGTTGTGAAAGAGACTTCTTTAATGGGAAAAAGCAAAGCGTAGGGAAAAAAAAAGCAAAGAAAAAAAATTCCAGCTTTTAAATTAGAGGATTTTTTTTTTTTTTGGGGGGGGAAAGTAGCAATGTTGAATGAGATTTCTTCATAGGAACGATTAACAATTATTCCAGGCCACTTAATTACACTCAGACAATAAATGCATACTACTAAGTGGTGGGAAGTCAGATTTCCTATTACTTAAAAACATGCACACAAAAAAACCCTTACTTAAATTATTTTAGCTCAGAAAGCCATTCCTTAAAATTTAACACATTTTACCCGTCTAAATGTTAATGAATCTTTAAGGTTGTCAAGTTAAAAATTCCACCTCCTCCAGTGGAAAATACCATTTCATCCCTAGAGACTCCATAAGTACTCCATCTTACTTTTCCAGAGGTTCACCACTTTCTTATGATAATATGTACATGAGATTTCATCATCCCTGCTGGACAGCAAGCTCTTTAAGAGCTTAAAGGGTCCAGTGTATTTCTGATTTCCCCACAATGCATAACCTGCTGTCCTGTGGATGGTATGCATTTGATTAGCAAATAAATAAACTTAGTCTTGGAATAAGTCTGCAAACAGATTTATCTTCTTGAAATGTCATAAATTAGCATGCATTTGAAGTGTGCCCAGTATCTTTGAGTCAAATGACTATTTACAAATTAGATACAATGCAACCACATGTGTGAAAGAGTGGGGTATGGGTGTTGTTGTCACTGTTAAATAAAAATCCAAGACTTAAAATCCTCTGGAAAGTACTCTAAGTGGATCAAGCCCTTTTGATTTGTTTGTTTTAAGACTCTCAGGCAAAAGCAACCTGTAGGGCACTAATACTAAACAATCAGGCACAACTGCTCAAAATATTCAATTGTGCACAATGCAAATACCAAGAGGAATCAGATGTTATTGCATCCTTTACAAAACTGAAAAAAACAAACAGGTAAGATCATACCTATAAGTTTAAAGGAAAACAAGAATTAAATCTCAGAACTATTTCAAAAATTCCCGTTAGAACTGGTTTGCTCCTCCTCCTGAGACAGCATGCATTCCTATCAGTGAGCGACTATGGAGGGCAGGGAATTAAAGTGCATCTGTTGGCCCTTCACATAAACAAACAAACAAAACAAAACGGTTGCATTTTTTTTCCTACAAAATATTGTTTTCTTCATTTATCTTCCACCTGGGCTCAGAACTTGAAACTGTTACCAGGTTGGAAGCCAGATTTGAAGTATTTAAGAAAGTGAAGGCTCTCTTTGAAAAAGCAGTGCAACCAACTCCTTTTTCGGACTTGACATCCAAATCCACCATCACACCCCATTGCTAACACCGTCCAGGAGTCACAAGGCCAGCATTCAACCTGGTAGTTCTCAGTGAGGTTGCGACTGCTCCCTCAGGGCCACTGTGGAATCCTGGAGCCACTTTTGGTTGTGACAACGATAGGGGGATGCCTCTGGCATGGAGTGGCTGGGAGCTAGGAGTGTTAGATGTCCTGCAATGTCTCGGTCTTGCACCAAGACAAAGCTGTCCCACACCCCAAAGACTTCCCAAAGTGCCATTAGCCATTTCCATAGGTGAAATGTGCTTAAAATCACTTAAGCATGGAACAGAACTCTGTTTCACACATACATCAAAGAATTTTTGCATGGTTTTTATACACTCTTGGGATGTAACTGCTAGTAACTGAAGGAAAACTGTATTTTGTTCTTTCTGGAACTTTACCAAGTGTCTCCCATATTTTAGAGAAGAAAGTTGCTGACTGCCATGCCATCTGAGTTATTAATACCACACACCTGTATCTTCTGCATTTGCAGTTGTCACTTTCTATGTATAGGTATATCTGACCACTTCATTATGTCTTTTGGTGTAGTCATGACTGGGCTTTTACATATGGAAATACATGTTTTAACATTAACCACATTCTTTGAATTTTCCTTTATATTACAGTAAAGCATGAAGTTGACGCTTTCAAAATTATGTATGCAAGGAGGTTACATTATAATGAATTTCAGGGCTGGGCATGCTGGCTCACCTATAATCCAGCACTTTGTGAGGCCGAGACAGGTGGATCATGAGGTCAAAAGATTGAGACCACCCTGGCCAACATGATGAAACCCATCTCTACTAAAAACACAAAAAAAAATTAGCTGGGTATGGTGGCACGTGCCTGCAGTCTCAGCTACTCCAAAGGCTGAGGCAAGAGAATCGCTTGAACCTGGGAGGTGGAGGTTGCAGTGAGCCGAGATTGCACCACTGCATTGCAGCCTGGCAACAGAGCAAGACTCCGTCTCAAAATAAAATAAAATATAATGAATTTCAGTTGGACATAGTGGCTCGTGCCTGTAATCCCAGGATTTGGGGAGGCTGAAGCAGGAGGAATGCTTGACCCCTGGAGTGTAAGGCTACAGAGAGCTATGATCACACCACTGCACTCCAGCCTGGGTGAAAGAGACCTTCTTAAGAAAAGTTATATATATAATTTTTAATATGTAAAAAATTATGTAATATATATCATATTTACATATATAAATTATATATATATATATATAAATTTATAGGAGAGTAAAGCAATCATTAAAATACTGGTCATAATAAGAGGACATTGGTTAAGTAGATGACAGGGTAAGAACTACTAATCAACTTGACACAAATTTTGTGTACTGTTGCGAGAAAGAATACTAGGCCAGGACACGGAACATGTAAAATCACTTTGAAAACTGTACAGGCTTTAATGCATACTGCATTTTGACTGTAGTTTAAATACGTAAATTCTGATGAAGAAAAAGGAGTAAATCCCATGGGGTAGAGGAATAGTGGTGGGCCGAGGCGCTGATAGTTGGAAGGAGCTAAGAAACAGTGCAGTATGGATGGGGGCAAGTAAGGCCTTCAACCCTCTCAGAGCCACAGTTTTCCTTATCCTGTAGTCCCACTAAACAGGAAGAGAAATTAGCCTATGCGTTTTCAGGCTGCCAAATCTTCATCATTCGTTTATTTCAAATCTGCCCCATCTACTTCTTAGCCTGGTAAATTCTCATTTAGGCCCAAACCTCCTCCCTGGATGACAGTCACCTTGCACTGTCAGCCTCCCTAGCTAGAACATGGGTTCAAGAAGGACAGGGACTGTGTCTTATTTATTATAATCCTACAGCCTGGGAAATAGCCAAAATAAATATTTACTGAATGAGTCTGCAAAGCAAGGGGGATATCAAAAGAGTCCCCCAGAACCTTCAGGACATGGAACTTTAATAATGTGTGCTGGATTCAAGTGAATTGGTACTCAGGACGGAAAACGAGAGGAATGTTGGTTTCTCTTGGCTAAAGGAACCAGGACTTAAGAGTGACTCCTGCTGCCCTCCACATATCTGGTGCCCCAGGAGTAGGGCACACATCTTGAGCTGCATATCCTGAGACACCGTAAAGGATAGACTTGGGCCCTTAGGGAAATCAAGGCCCTGCTGACTTAGCCCAACAGGGCTGCACTGATGTCTCATCCTG